TTCAGTTTTATACCTTTGTCCATCTTGTTTGTTTCACTCTGACTTGTTAAAACAGAGTCAGTAAGAGGACCTAATTGGAGAGGAACAAAAGAACACACATAATGTTATCAGTTTTCTTTTATAATGAGAAGTAATCCAAAAAAACAAAAAAAACAAATTTGTCCGCAGCAGAGTGTGACGGCTCCTCCATATGCCTCTTCTCTTGTTGTATTATCTTCTTCTTCTCCAAATCAATACGATTAACAGTTCCAACAGCAGAAGCAGAAGTATTACCCATATTCTCTTCTTTCTTCTTAGACTGCTCCATCAGCTTCTTCTTAAAGCCTACACAAAATCAGATGAAAGAGATCAAAAACCCTAGAGACGGTTATGGTAAACAAATCTTTTAAGATATGTTAATTATTTGGTAATATCCTAAATTAATTTTGATCATTATTAAAATAGACTTTTCAAATCATAACTTACCCATTATAACCTCGCCGTCCGCTTGGCATAGGAAATCGTGGTCCAACTTCTCAAAGAAGGACCTTTTCCCTTTTCTTCTTATTGTGCTGATACTTGATTTTTCCAACTATCTCTGTCGTCTCCTGTTCCATTATCTCAAATGGTTCCCAGTGAGGAGCTTTTCCCTTTGTCTCATTTTCCAGTGGCTCCTCCGGCTCAGGCTTGATCCTGCTTGCACTACCCTCAAGGTTTCCTGCCCATCTGTGTTAAACACAGCAAATCCAATTTAATTTTCTTATTTCTACATTGATATGATAAACAAAAACATAAGAAACTAACCTTGCAACCGGAACTGCATCCCCCTTTGCAAGTTCCTCTACCTTATCCAAGAATTTCTTCTGTGCAGACATAAAGTTGTCATACAACCTAAGGGTCTCAGTATCTTGATGCATAGGCTTCATGGTGGCGAAACTTTGTCCAGCAACCTAGTGAAAGGAGAAAACAGAACATGTAAGTACAATTTAACCAAGCAATTGATGGTAATATACATATCTTAAATGGTATACCTTTAAGAGGTTATCATCTAATCTCAACCTAAGTTGTTGATGTGCCCTTAAAAACTCCTCATTCAAGCAAAGGGTGTCAAAATCTCGAATGAGATGCTGTAATGTATCAAACGGAGCAACTTCAGGTTTTACAACGTATGAATCTCTGTCTCTGTTTGGATCCTCTGCCATTTGCATTCCCCTTGGCATTGCTCTTCCACCATAGATCACTGGCTGTTCAATGCAAAATTAAGCCAAAATTTTATGCAAAAATTGCTGATAACAACTTCTTAAATGATGGTAAACAGCTCTTTCTTAGAAACATATATACCTGATTACCATAAGGAGGCGGAGCAAAACCACCGTAAGAATAAGATTGCTCAGGTTTCCTTTCAGCATGGGGTTTAGCAAGCACACCTTCTAGTGGTTGACCTGTAGATTGCAATAATGCCTCTTGAGATCAAAGAACAAACACCATTCAAAGACAAAATGAAATCATAACGCAATATCTTTCTTCTGTATAAGTAAATTTGTTTACCATTGATTTCATATTTCTCAGGAATATTCTTGACATAAAGAGCTTTGACCTGCCCACAAAGAGAATGGTCAAAAAAGTGCCCGGTAGAGAGGATTTTGCAGACTAAAGCCTCTTTTTTGAAGAAATACCTCAGAAGCAGCAGCCGCTGAATGCTCAGGAGACCTTTTTTGGGTCTGCCCAAGTCACAGTTGGAGCGTTACCCTCAAGCTTAAAATTAGAATCCATCATTTTCTGCCTTGAATAGTCAGCACATGCATTGTTATAGTATAAAACAAATGCAAAACCACGGTTACGAGTAGATTTTTTAGGGTCCTACAGCACCAAGAAGATATTTAGTAAGCAAGATCAAGCATGGCAATCATATTGATTAAAGTGACTAAATCTTGTTACTTTTATGAGCTCAATGTTCTCTGCTCCAGGACCAACATCCTCTATGACTTTTCTAAACTTATCCTCAGTCCAGCTCTTTGGGATGTTACGAATAAACAATCCATTCTTAGTTTCGGAAAGAGAGCATCTGATAGTTTTTCCCTACACAAAATAAGATATATAGGTTAAGTATTGCAAGTGCAATGATTGATAAGTTAAGGTGCAATTAGCGGTCGAGATTGCCTTAAACTCTTTGCTGTGCAACTCCTCAATGGCCTTTTGTGCAACGTCTTTCGATTTGAAAGCTACAAAAGCATCACCAGAGTCCCCATCTTTCATCAGCCTCACCTGATAAATAAAAAAGGGTTAGATCTCAGCCATGAATACAGAACTACCGAAGAGGATTATGCTTGCAGTTCCAACCTCAAAGATCTCGCCTATTGCTTCACAGAGATCCCTCAAGTCCTCTTCTCCGACATCCTTCGGAAGCCCGCCAATGAAAACTTCAGAAGCATGAGGAGGAAGTGAAAGAAGATGGGAATACTTTTCCCTTGCTTCTTCATCAATAGGAACAAGCACATCCTTTTCGTTCGGATTCGCCATTGTTGATGAAGAACAAGCTTTGAATCAAAGAAAAAACGAGCTTGATTAAGGATGAAAACGAAGCTGC